TGGGTTCATGGCGTTGGAGGGGCGAGTGCATTTGCGAGCTTGGCTTCTAGAAGAGGTCGACTCCCTGCTGCAAGAAAAGCCTGAAGAGCTGCGCCACCGGGCGATAGATCTGCTAACGGCATTGTGGCAAGACGTATCTGTGAAGGAACTGATCCGTGAAGCATCTTTTATTCTGCCGGAACTTTCATTTCGCAGATTTCTCAACTTCGCAATCAACAACTACCCGGAGGAGGCTTTGTCAGTTCAAGAGCAGCGAGTAGAAGACCATGCAGGCACTGAATCCTTCTGGCCTCAGTACGAGGCCACCACGTATCAACAATGACTCGCAAGAACCCATACACCCGCGCTACTCGGTCTGGTCCCAAGTCCAGATGCAGCAACCAACGGCACATCGAGCATTGCTAGGAGGCGCTGCAGGCGTGAGGGTAGGATCGGCTTCCCCAGGCCATCCGGAAGCTTCGGCAAAGACTGGGGGTTTTATACCGGTGCCGCAGATGCACCACCTTAGCAAAATCAAGAAGAGGTCCTTTCAGAGAGCAATAGCAAGAGCGAGTAAGCTTGGAAGCACTACCTACAGAGGACAACGCCTGGTGGCTAGGACTCCTGTCCTGCCAGCGATCCAGAGACCACAAGTGGGAGTGTCTGCGGCGCCACCGCAACAACAGCGCCTGGGCTGCGTTACGTGGAACTGTGATGGTCTCACGCAGGAGGTCTTGGCACAGCTGTTACATTGGCTGGACACAAGGCCAGAGATCCAAGTGGTTTTTCTACAAGAAACGCACTGGGGATTTGATGGCGACTGGACGCAGGGCAAATGGCACTTCTGCCATAGCGCGGCTGAGCGGCGACGAGCTGGAGGGGTACTGGTAGCGCTGAGGGCTGACGTTTTCCCCAAGGAACAGATACGATGGCAAACGGTAGAGCCAGGACGGCCTCTGCATGTACGCTGCTTCGCCGACAAGCAACACCTGGACCTGATCTGCTTCTATCAGCATGCCCTGCCTTTCGGGGTGGAACAGCAAAAGGAGGTCATGACAAAACGTCAGAACGTCTGGAAAAAGCTGGATGCGCTCCTGGGATCTCAGCCGACGAGATCATCGGTGATGCTGGCTGGCGACTTTAATTGTGTCCTTCCTGCTATGGCACCGTGTATAGGTTTTGGGATTCACAATGGCCCCTCTGCTGCGCATCTGGTAGAGGAGAGAAGTAAAGTTGCTAGCATTCTGCGTAAGCATGATTTGTGTGTCCTGAATAGCTGGGGCAGAAAGCACTGGACATACACTCATCCGAGAGGGCAGAGTCAGATTGATTATATCGCTGTGCGACGTTGCCTGGCAGATGGCAAAGCAAAGCAAGCCACAATGCAACGCACGCCGCTGGCAGGTTGGCGCTCCAGTGGACATATGCCGGTACAAGCTGACATCAAGCTAGATTGGAGACCTTGGAAAAACAGTAGAGCTAAGCCGGTTCTTGCGCCGATTGTGGCCAAACAAGCCCAGAACCCTGATCTGCATAGCCTCAAACAAGAGCTCCTGGCCCGTAGGAATCCCGTTGCCCCTCCCCAGCGACCTGCTTTGGCAAATGTGGATGGGCCGATCAAGACGTTCTGGAGGTGTCATGCAGAATTGGCGAGGGCGAAGGCTCAGGCACCGCCCAGTCGGCTCACGTTTGCGTTGATCTTCGAGCGCCTTAGGCTACACAGCCGAATGCAGGCAGCACATAAGGCCTTGAAGAGGGCATCAAGAGCCAGAAAGCGACAACAACAGCTTGATATCCTACAGATTGCGGAGCACGCCGCGCGGTGCGGCAATAGCAAGGAGCTGTTTCAGTGTGTCCGATGGTTGGCGCCCAGACAGCACAAGCAAAGTATTAGGCTTAGGGATAAGCACGGCAACCTAATGTCCCCAGGTCAAGAGTGCGCGGAGCTTGCAGAACATGCTGAAGCACTGTTCCGAGGTGTGCCATTTCAGCAGTCGCCACAGGAACCATTGCCGGAGGAAATGTTTAGCCAGGAGAGATGGGCTAATGCGCTTCGCAAAATTCAGGCGAATAAAGCTGTTCCGGTTGCGGAGCCCCCCGGGCTCCTCTGGAAGGAGGACTTGGCCGCCATGGCGCATCAACTGTCTGGCATTTCGAAGGCCAGTCTCTGTTGTCCGTCGCCAGTAGTCCCTCTAGAATGGTCAACGGTTCAGTTAGCGTGGCTCCCCAAGCCGATGAAAACCCCATCATGCCCTAAAAACTTGAGGAGCATCGGCCTCATGCCAGTTGATGCCAAAGCCTTCTTGATGATCTTAAAGCAAGAGGTAGAACCATACATCAGTCAGGCGGTCCGAGACTGCCCGCAGTATGCATATCGGCCACAGGCAGGCACCGCGGATGCGCTGTTGCGCGCAAGCCACCACTGCCAGGAGGTACGGGCGTTAGTAGCTAAGCATCATCAGGATTATACTGCCAAAATTATAGGTCATCAAGCTCCGGCGGTACAAGGCATGATGTGTAATCTTGTAATGGCCAAAGCCTTCGACACGGTTCCTCATAGTGAGCTTTTTTGGTCTATGATTGAAGCTGGCATCCCCGAGCCCTTGGCTAACCTCATACTGCGTGTGCATGTGCAATCGGTATGCACCATCATTCATGGCGGCAAACGTCGGAGTGTGCGGATGAGCAGAGGACTTCGACAAGGATGTCCATTGGCTCCAACATTATATGTGTGCTTCACCATCAGGCTGTGTCGGAAGCTAGCCCAACGGTTGGGCAGCGGCTGGGCACAGGCACACCTGACTGCATTTGCTGATGATACCCATGGCTTCTGGACTGTGCGTAATGCTTCCGATTTTCAGCGTGCAAGAACAGAGCTCAAAGCCATCATCGATGCTCTCCAGTGCATGGGAATGACCATCAACTTCACGAAGTCCATGGTTGTGATCCTGTTGAGGGGTAAAGCGGCGCCAGGACTCTACAAGCGCTTCTTCAGACTTCGGCATGGCACCCAGAACCTCAGACTCGCATCAGAGGACTCCGAAGATGTTTATCTTCCCTGCGCAAACACGCTGGACTATCTAGGAGTCGTCTTGGCATATGACAACTTTGAGGGGCGAACGGTTCAACATAGAGCTGACAAGGCCGAGGCGACCTACAATCAACTACGCAAAGTGCTGCGCAGCAATGGGGCCTTGACCGCGCCCTATCGGCTCCGCATTTACAACGCCATCGTTGTAAGCTCTCTCATCTACGGTCTAGTCAGCGTTGGCGTCACGGCCGAGGTTGTGAGGAAGGTCTCATCCGACATTGCGGGGCACTTGCGCAAGGTCCTCAGAATCTATGAGCACGGGCCAAGAAGTTCTTCGTCGGGCGGGCCTCTCCCCCATCGCAATGCTCAATCAGCGTGCGCACAGGCTACGCGAGCACATACTACATGATCAAGGGCGAGCCGATGGCCTCAGGCGCATAGAGCTCGAAAGAGTGCAGGACATCATTGTGCATCTGGAAGAGCTGATTGCAAAGCCACCAGGTCTGACGCTTCAACATGTCTCCAAGGCAGAAGTATGTGCTGTCAGTTGTCCAGTATGTGGCCTAGAGTACAACACGGGCGAAGGCCTCTCTATGCATCTCCATCGACGACATCCGGAGGTGCAGGAAAACTCCAGGCAAGCACTGGACAGACAACAACATGCCTTGTTTGGTGTTCCTGTTTGTCGGTTTTGTCATGTTCGGGCCTGCGACTGGAGCGCTCTGCGCAAGCATATAGAGGAGGGGCACTGTCGCTGGATTCAAGCCAAAGTTGCGGCAGGTCATACCACGTCGGAGCTGCTTGCAATCATCGAGCAAGAGGAAGCTTGCAAGCCACCGAAGCCTCCGGACGCTGTTTTGGCTGACTCTGCACTTCAGGATGCCAGGGATCTGCTGGGCTCCTCGAACGACAAGCTAGTGCAGATCGGACGTCAGCTACGTGGCTTGGCCCGGCAGTGCATACTCTGCGCTCAACGGGTTCAATACTCGGCCAGGATCAAACCACACTGGCAAGCGCAGCACACAGGCGCATGGCAGCACTGTCAACAGAGCGCTATCAGTGAGTCAGCGAGCCTGGTAGCCCTCTTTGTCAAGCCTTGCAGGTTTTGCGACAGTCAGGCCAAGAATACCAGGGAGCACGCTTCTCAACTGCGCTATTTCAGTTTCTAGCCGGACGACACTTGCAGCGAGGTAGCAGCACGCTAAACGAAGCAGCGCAGGCTACGTTCTCCGCACCACAGGCGCGCAAGGCATCTACGCCCAAGCAAAGACTCATAGCCGACATGTTTGGCAGATCGAAATCGGCGGCGAAATCCAGTGTCGCCACCCACCCGGAGATCGCGCAAGCAATCGTTGTCGAGCCTCCACAAAACAATCAACCACCGCCACCTGCTCCGAGGTTGGATGTCAATGTGCCTGCATCCCCGGAGGGATGGGTACTCAGCCTGGTCCTCAGCAACCCCCACAACCATTGCTACGCCAATGCCGGCATGCTGGCGTTGTTCGCGGCATTGGACACCACGCCTGTCTATCCAGGCGCCCTGCAGACCATCAAGACGACGGCCCAGAATGCCGCGATCCATGGCAGGCCCTTCACATTATGTAGACAGTTTGTCCTTCGGAGCTTGCTGCGTCAGTGGCGCTTTGGACCAGAACAGCAGGATACCATTGAGTTCATCACTTTGCTACTGCAGGCTGCACGGGTCGAAGTGGGCAGATGGGAATCACGCATAGACAGCCATGCGTCCATTGAGGTGTACACGCGGGGTGCGGGTCCCATCGCCCTGCCAGCGCAGGGAAATACAGGGGATCTACAGGAGGCCATCAACGCTTGGCATCAGCAGGGCTCCGTTCATGCACTTTGCAATCACCCTGATATCATACTTGTGTACTTGGCCAGGTATGTGGGAAATGGTAAATCTTTCAAAGAGGTTTTCTTTCATGAGGAAGTCAAGGTGCCGGTCTTTGTGCAAGAAATGCAAGTTGAGTGGAGAGAGTATCAGCCAGTCTCGGCAGTTCTTCACTTTGGTGCCACACCGGTTGCTGGCCACTATCGCTCGCTCTTCAAAATCCAAGGGCAATGGTACTTCACGCAGGATGGTGTTGTAGCGAAGTCACAGGGCCTTTTGCGTCAGGACAGAAAAAAACGTCTATGCAATCTGGCTCCAGCGAAAAGCCAGAGTCGAGCCCGAACTTTCCGCGCCATCTCAGCCACGATGTATGCGCTTGACTCGCCCGAGGAGCTGGCTATGTACCAGGCCTTCCGTCCCACTTTGGGCTTATCCCGAGGCTCTCACAACGGCAGCGAAGCGAGTACCAAAGACTCCGAGGGAGGGTCTAAGAAGCCTCGTGTTTCGTCCGGATGGGGCGGACAGAAGCGCCAGTGGCAGCAGGCTCAGCAGCAGCAGTGGAGTGGATGGGACAGTGAGACGAAGGAAGACTTAGCAGCCGAGATTGCTAGGCTCAAGGCCTGCATAGCGCAGCTACAGCGCTTGGCCCTACGCCACGAAGATAGCATCAACATCGGCAAGATTGAAGTCAGCTGGGTTGCTCACTTCCGCATCGACGCCCCCAACTCCATTGTCAAGTGCATTTTTGTGGCGGCAGATGGGTGGAAAAAGGCCAGAGACTCGGACCCGGCAAGCATCAGCAAACCTCTTCGCTCAACGTTGCTGGCATGCGTGTTCATGGAGCTACGCACAAGAGTGCAGGAGATGAACGCAGAGCAGGCGAAAGCCCTGCAGACCTTGGGATGGTATGACATGGAGACCAAGGTGTGGGCGTACCTTCGCTGGAATCCCATCAGCAAAGCGCTGGAGAAGGATACCAAGAGGAGTGGCGCCACGACGGAAGCCTTGCTCTCTGCGATTGAAGACATCACAAGAGCTATTCCGCAGCAACATGCCGCGGCGAGGTTTCATCCGACCCGCCCCTTGGCAGCTGAAATGCGGGGAGAATCCGTGACATTCTTGGTCCAGTTTGGGCAGCAGAATGACCATGCCGAGAGGATTTGTTCATGCATCCCTGTGCTACGCAGCTCCGCTGTCACGCAGCTTATCTGTATGTCCATCAAGCCCGAGCGCCTCCAGCGCTCCAACTTGGCCAATCAGATTCCCGAAGCCTACATTGAGCAGAGGAGTCGCAGCTTGCGGGACGGATGGCGCCAATTCTCAGACACCGAGATGAGGTGAGATGGTTAGTGGGGTCTGGCTGGGTTGTAGGGCGTGCTTGGCACTCAGGTGCGATGCTCTACGGGCCGCAGTCAACAGTACTGCAGCGCTCCACTGCCTTTTTGGTTTAGCTCCCGATGTCCCCCGGCTTGGTTATAGGTGTAGGGGGTTTTAGCAGTAGATGCACACAGGCACATGTGCAGCCGCGACGAAAGAGGGGCTACTGCTTGACTCCGCATACCGCCCTGCGTTGCTGCACGCGAGCGAGCGCGTGCGCGCATGGCTAACCAGACGCACCTACCACCAAGGCGATGGACTTGAGTTTTTCGAGGGAAGTCGAGGCTGGATCCCAAGTCGGTGCATCTTTGTGGGTCTGTGCGTGCCCTTGTGAGTTGCCGTGCAGATAGGCGCTAGCTGCCCAGCCATCAGGGATGACGCACGCTTCATGGGCAGTTTTGGCCAGCAGAACGCGTGGTTTCTCTTTGCTGAGCTATGTCTATCACCTTGCCCACTCTTTAGGTGTAAGAACATCTACATTGATCCGCAGGTGTAGGTGCATACGCGTTGCTCGGCGGTGCTAGAGTAGATTTTGGAGCGCGACAGCGCACGCCAATGCCTCAGCTGTGCGGGGAAGCTGCATAATGGATGTGCAAGAGCTGGCCGATTCGGATGATGAGTACAGCGGTCCAGGACTTGCCAGTGATCCTCCTGATGTATATCATGGTATCTACATGGCAGGGGTTAAGCCCATGAGCAGCATTGAGAGAGATCTCCGACATAGGTATCAACAACAGCAGCTGTATCTCATTCGTGGAGTCAGACTTGCTGGACTCAAGCAGCCGGACTGTCGAGCAGAGGCGTTAGCTTTGTCCATGATTTCACATGGCCAGGCTTCCTGGCAGCAGCTTCAGAGACTCGTGGGCCTTTTGCCATGTGACGCCACAGTTCGCTGGAAGCAGGAAAGCAGCATGCATCAGCAAGCGCCACATAGAGTGACAGTTGGAGCGTGGAATCGTGGACCGATGACTGGTTTGCATAAGACAGGTCAGGATTTTCCATGGAGCGCCAGAGTGTTTTGTGGAATCATTCGATCGTGGGATGATGAATTCAGCTTTACTTCGTGCACGATGAGTCGCAATGTAGCTGCGGCACCACATCGAGACAAGTTCAATCATGCTGCTTCTCAAAATCTCTGCTTACCACGGCCAGAATTCCAAGGGGGCGAAATCTTCATCGAAGACACAGCAGGCAGTCGCCAGTTGCAGCCATCGGGCCCGACAGGACATGTGCTACAGACCACCTCAGCTCTGCAGTTCTCACCGAGGCGTCTCCACGCCACTCTGCCATGGGCAGGGGATCGCCTCATCTTGATAGCGTACCACATAGGTATGAATGCGAGACTGTCTGTAGAGGATCTTGCCGGTCTTTACGACTTGGGTGCTAACCCAGGTTTCCTGTGACTTTGTAGGCTGTCTGTTCCAGGTGGAGCTCGAAAGCAAAAGATGCCCAACTGCCCAGTGAACAGGGCCAATCAGGATGTCCTCTGCTGTGCTCTCTGAGGTCATGGCAACGAAGACCGGTGGTTCACAGCTCCATATTCATCGCAAGATGATGTGCTTGCCGTGCTACAATCTCTCAGTTGCCGCTTGTACAGGACCTCGCAACTTACCGTTAATGCTATGCTGATTGCTGGAGCTTAGGCTCGGATTAGCTTCTGTCGAGCATGCTTGGCCCCAAGGGGCGGTGCTCGTTCTTTTATCGGGCCACGCAACACACGTGGTGCTGTTAACAGCCGGGCAAATGCCTGCCGGACG